AAATTTGTAAGCAAGTAACCATTTAATTATTTAGCCATGAAATAACTTAAAAAATTTAAACAAAACTGGAAAGAAAGAAAGAAAATGAAAGAAGAAGAAAAAAGATAAGAGGAAAGGAAAATGAAAAGTAGAAGTAGAAAGGAAACGAAAGTGAGAAACAAAACTGGAAGAACATGCATTTCAATCAAAATGAGTGAGTCGGTTTGCACAAAATCCCTAAACAAATCTGAATAATTAACAGTAAACAAAAACAATAAGAGAATTAATAGATCGAGAGATAAATGAGTTATAGATAATATTATAAGTAACGATAAAGATTAGATTAAAACCAAACAAAAACCATATCTCTATATATCTTACCAACAGCTATGAAGTTTCTTAAAAAAACTGTGGCGCCATGTCTGAGAAGGAATTGAAAGGGGAAGGGAAGGGAAAAAGAAGCTTTAAGAAGAAGGAACACATAGCAACTCCGGAAGTGGGTATATAAAGGAATATATTCAACAGAAATTCTGTTGGTTATAATGTTTAAAAATTTCAGGCCTGCGCGATTCCAATTTTGGTGGACTTTTTTGGCGAACCCTATTATAACCAACAGCATATTCGACACGTGGTGATTCCAATTTTGGCAATTCCAACTGTGCTACAACTTCTAGGAAACCTCCTCCATGTGGTGTGGTTGCTTAGAGATGCTGGAGGCTAGACCAAAAGGCAAGGATCAACAAAGAACAATGCAATGTGCCAACTGTAAATTAATCCAAGGAAAATAAATGCAAAAATAAATCAATCAATTGACCAAGAGAGGGGCGAACTCACCGGCACTGGTGCGGAGCAGAGAACAGGGGGCGCAACGGAAGAACAGCGACAACAAGCTTGGCCGAAGAAGAAACCAGATCTACCGTCGCAGAGGGGGAAGCAGAAATGGGGAAGAAAGGAGAGGTGGGGGTGATATGAACCAGTATATTCGACAGCCAGAGCTGCCGAATAAACAGAGGAAACGATGTCGTTGCCTAACATACTGGAGTCGATTATGTTGCAATACATATTCGACAAGAAATTTTTGAAGAATAAACATATTCGGCATAATTTTCTGTCGAATATGTTTATATATTCGACAAAAAAGTTGCCAAATATGAAGACTATCGATTAAACCAGAAATTTCCATTATCATCGTCAATTTTACATCTTCGTCAATGTTTCTGTCGGTTATGTACACATTTTCGTCAGAAATATGACTGTCTAATATAATCTTGTTGCATATGCCGCGTTTTCCAGTAATGAATAAATGATAGTTCTTTTTATCTTTTTTTTTTTTTTAACCAAATTTTTTTCTTTTACACTTTCCTTCAGTTTCTCGTCCACCAAACGCTGGCCTCTATTGAGGAAAACAATCCTAGTTGAGTCAATACAATCACGGAGGCAGACATTGTTGACAAGTTCACACCCTCATATATACAAGGCAGCCACGGATTCTATTCTTCTTTTTATCTTTTGATCAACAAAGAAAAGGTGATATATTATTAAAATTGAAATGTAAGAGGTATTTCTATTGACAAAAATTCTATTCAGATCTTATTTATTTGTAAATATTAAATTTCCATTAACAGTTAATTGTTGACTTGCAGCTATATATATACAGTATCTTGCTAGCTATGAACATCATCATCTCTTCCAGTCTTCCGCAATTATCAAACCTTAAAAAACCTGTTAATTAGTGATTGATTCATAATAATGTATGTACCTTTATAATTTCCTTTTAATTTTTTTTTCTCATATCGAAAAGATAGTTATTTGGTATTATAAATATTTGAATTAAAAAAAATAATATTTTTTAAACTCATAAAACTTCATGTAGAGACTTTAGCTACTGAGATAGAAATATGGAGAATATTTCTTATTATAGAGCAAGGATGAAGATAATTTTTTTCCAAATAAAATTTTTTTCTACTTCACATCTCTTCATGGGATCCATATATAATAAAAAATATATAAATTTATATTTTTATAAATTTTAATATATTTATAAAAAAAATTAATTTTTACCTAACTCAAATTGCTAGCAGCCAGTCCAATTTCTCTTCCTCAACATGATAAGAATTTTTTCTAAGATTATGTTAATTTGGAGTACTTTTTTGAAAAAGTTATTTCTTCAACTTAAATTTGTTGATCAAAAGCTTGAATTATTGTTGGACTACTACAATGTTGCCTTGCTAGATGTAGCAAGATGGATGTTTATGTATCTGTTAGTTTTAAAT